GTATTTGTATTTTGTTTATTTTTTATTTTTTATTTAATTTAATAAAGTAAAATTAGATTTATATAAATATAATTATAGTAAACTGTAATACAAATAGTAAATTCAGTGACCAAATCGTATAATTTCGTGATAAAATCAGTGATCAAATCATGTAAATTCCATATGAATTCCGTGCAAATTCCGTATCCAAACCATATTTTTAGTGATACGGAATTGTGCATTTTTCCGTATCCTATTATGATACGTTATTTCTAAGGAAAAAAAATCGTATAAAAACTTTATAAAAAACGTATCCAATTTTTTTATAGGGAATTCAATATTAATAATATTTGTATCTCTAAAGTCTCAAACAAATATAAAATATTATTTTTCAATTGTTCAAATTTACAAGTGCCTGTAATCACATATTTGATATAGTCCATTGTCATTCTCTATAAATTAAAAAAAAAGTTGTGTATGATTCATTATAATTTAAATTGTTTTATAGTTTGACATTTATTCTAAAGAAGCCAAAATCAGTAAATTATCAAGAATTATTGTAAATATTTTTGATCGAAATTTTATTTAATAAAAAATTTCATATAATAATAAATAGAAATTTGTAAAAAAATTGTTAAAAAAAAAGAAGTTGATGAAAATTTGCTCACAATAACATATCACGAACTACGCAAAATACCATATGTTTAAATTTACCATTTTCATTAAATTTCATTAACTGATAGAAAGATAGATGATTCTTTGATTATTATCAATGTTGGTTAATCCATGAAACCATCTTATTTAATCTAAAAAAAGAAAAAAGTGAGTACTATTGAACCAAACAACATGAATATTTGGCATGGTAACAGAACAAATTTCTTTGCAGGTAATGCCCATGCCTAGGTGTAAACACTACACTCATCAGGTTTTTCCCATAACAGAAAGCTAATTTCAGCCCTGCACCAAGTACTCTTACCCTGACGCCTGTTATCCATGCAGCAAAACTCAGACACACAACTTATTTGTGATACTAGGAATTTCTGAAATCAGAGAAGGACGTTCACAGTAACTGTGGCCACGATGTGCTTCCAGTTCTCTGATAATATATATATAAATATATATATATATTGAAACTCCTAATAAAAATAAATCCATTAAAAGATATCACAATGGTGGAGGTTCATAATTGTTCCTCCTTCAGAACAAAAGACCTCACGTGACCCGTGAGAAAGATACATAATTATTCCTCCTGTAAAGAACAATAGTTCTCACATCTTTGTCATGCTATGGTGGTCTGGAATTGCCTTCTCAAATACTAGCATGAAATTTAAAGATAAATAGTACCTTAATTAAAACTAATCATTATGGTTCTACAAGTCCAACAATGTCGTCGGGCTGGTAGTGTGTCTCGCTAGCGCTCACCCCACCTCGGCCTCACGGCCTCGCAGTACTTACATCCCTCCTCCGTGAGGTAGGGAACCCCCCATAGATCCTCCACAATTCTCCACATACTGTAGATCCTCCACAAAAATATATAACAAAAAAGGATAAAATAAGGGAAAAGAGAGGAAAATAAGAGGGAATCGGAGAAGTGTGGAGGATGTGGAGGATGTGGAGGACGTTTTAAAAAAATCGGGAGAGGGATCCTCCCAGAAAAAAGTTTTGATTTTACCCCCCCAGATCCCCCACATCTTCCACATCTTCCACACGTACAGGATTCCATTCATTTTCCTATTGGAAGCAATGAGATAGCAAACCAGGTAAGTTATTAGCAGGTAAGTCCCTAGAAGGCCTGTAGAGCCATAGAGATATAACCGGGTAGGAGCACGGATCTTTGGAAAAAATATATTCGGCAATTGAAGATTAGGTAACTATAAATTAGTACTCGATTTGATAGAACGAAAAAATGACCACTCAAGCTCAAGTTATCCCCAAATTCGGTGAACAAACGAAAGCCTTCAGTATCAATGAGCTTAAACGGCTTATTGTCGTTGCAAAGAGTATGAGTGACTTCGATCAAGCCAAGAGGTATCTTTGCAGTTATTTCATTCCCTGTGCAGATCCTCATGGGGTTTTCTGGTGGGACCCGGATAGTAAAAGTTTGAAACACGTTATTGACAAAAATATTGGTAAACTTATCCGTCCAATCACGAAGGCATTCTACACACAACCTGAACAAGGACCCTCTCAAAAGACCGAGTTCAACATCTACAAGTGGTTTATGGTCGAGAATACCGATGTATGT